AATTCTGGTTATAGTATCTTGACAGACTAAACACAATTGATTTTACTGAATTTAATATGTATTTTGAATATAATCTTAACTATAACCATGAGTTAATATTTTAGTTTCAGAATCTTCCTTGTTGTTGTTTGTCATGGGGCTTGAAGTGGGGGCTTGGACACTATCCCTAAGCTCTTTTGCTTAAGGCTAGCACTCTACCACTTTGAGCCACAGTGCCACTTTCGGTTTTCTGGTGGTTAATTATAGATAAGAGTCTTTTGGACTTTCCTGCCCAGGCTTGTTTGACTGTGATCCTCAGATATTAGCCTCTTGAAGTAGCTAGGATTACAGGCATGAGCTACTGGTGCCTGGCTTCAGAATCCTTGTTACATATTACTTCAGTGGCTTTTTCTCAGTTGTGTGACACTTACTGTTTTTATCATATTAATATTCTCATTTTAATTGTAAATAAAGTCAGTTCCTATCAGATTTGACAGTGAGGTACTTTATTTGTTCTGCTTAATTGCAGTATTCTTGTGCCTGTTGGCTTTGGGTATCCAGCTTTCAGCTGGAGAGAGCCTCAATAATTGATACTTGAGGGAAGTGAAGCTGATTGATATGTTGATATATCCAGAGAACTAACAAGTTCACAGGCAACTTCTGGACTTATGTAAATTTTTTTTGTTGTTGTTGTTTCTAAGGAGACTGTTCATGCAGTGTTATCCTCAATGTCATAATGTCTTTATTCCACCTATTTAGGCCTTCTTACACTATTAGTTTGTTTACTTGTGATACATAGTCTTTTCTCCTTTTGTTTAACAATTAGTCTCTTGAGGATCCAATCAAATATGATCAAGCTTTCCTTTGTGTGTGTGTGTATATATTTTTGTTTTACTTATTTTGCTAGTACTAGAGGTTGCTTGCTACCTTAGCTGATACTCCACCACTTGAGGCATACTTCCAGCCCAGCCTTTTGTTAATTTTTGTTTTAGAAAGTGACCTGGAATTTAAGCTTTATAATACTAAAAATCTATTTCTATCATTTGACAGTGAATTCCTGTGCAAAAAAATCTTGGCTAATAAAATCTGGCTATGACAGATTTTATGATCACATTTCAGGGCTGGGAATGTAGCATAGTGGTAGGAGTGCTTGCTTGGCATATGCAAAGCCGTGGGTTTGATTCCTTAGTACCACATAATTAGAAAAGGCTGTAAGTAATGCCATGGCTAAAGTGGTAGAGTGCCAGCCTTAAGCAAAAGAAGCTCAGGGATGTTACTCAGGATCTGAGTTCAAGCCCATGACTGGCAAAAAAATAAAATGTAACAATTTTCTTCTTTTCCTATTACTGTCATTTTCTGGATTATTAGGATAAAAATGTTATTTATTTTGTTTTTTTTTTAAATTTACAAACTTGTTTATTTTGAAGAATAACTGCAAAGTTCACTATTGCTTTATGGGTAAAGTATTACATTAATTTATGATGCAGTACAAATTTATTCTAAACTTGAGAACATTTGATTGCATATCAGATTGTTTCTTTTGCAGTTAGAAATCCAGTGTCAATTCATAGATTAAGAATGTTTTTTTCGCTGGGTGCCTGTGGCTCACTCCTGTAATCCTAGCTACTTACGAAGCTGAGATCTGAGGATCAAGATTCAAAGCAGTCTAGCAGGAAAGTTGTTAGACTCTTATCTCCAATAAACCACTCAGAATACCGGAAGTGGTGCTGTGGCTCAAGTGGTAGAATGCTAGCTTTGAACTGAAGAGCTCAGGGACAGCTCCCAGGCCCAGAGTTCAAGTCCCATTACTGACAAAAAAAAAAAGAGTAAGTTTTTCTCTTCTGGGGATGGTGTCCAAAGGCCATCAGAATGGTTCAGTGTTTGATACACTGCCATAGGCTTTCCTACAATACAGCCTCTAACACCAGGCTGATTCAAACCCCTAGCAACAGAATTGTTTACCTTTATGCCAAGAAGATTGGGAAGGCACCAAATCTGCACGTGGTGTATACTCAGGCTGACTTTGGTGAGGGTTGTGCTTTGAGACCTAAAGTCCTCACGCAAGTGTCTTAAAAAAATGTCAGCAGGGCATATGGTGGTCCTATGTGTGCCAGATGTGTTTGAGGTATGATCATGTGTGCTTTCCTTATCAAGGAGCAGAAAATCATTGTGAAAGTGCTTAAGACAGAGTCAGAAAGCTAAGTAAAATTAGGAAGCTTTTTCTGTGTGTGGTAGCATGCAGGAAACCTGTAAAAAAAATTCTAGCAAAGCTGGGCACTGGTGGCTCACGCCTGTAATCCTAGCTATTCAAGAGGCTGAGATCTGAGGATCATGTTTCAAAGCCAGCCCAGGCAGGAAAGTCCATGAGACTCTTTATCTCCAATAAACCACTAGAAAACCAGAGGTGGTGCTGTGGCTCAAGCAGTAGAGCACTTGCCTTGAGCTGAAGAGTGCAGGGACAGCGCCCAAGCCCAGAGTTCAAGCCCCACCACGGGCCAAAAAAAAAAATTCTAGCAAGGAAAGAAACCTTTTGGATAAAAGTGTTTTTTTGTTTTTTTTTTTTTGCGTTAAAAAAATAAAGTTTGTTTTTTGTTTTCCAAAAGATGGGTGCATTGGCGTTTGACTGTAATCCAAGCCTCTGTTGGAAGGCAGAGGCAAGAATAATCATGAGTTCTAAGCCAGCCTGATTATATAGAAAGACCCTGTATTAAGCAAAGCAAAACTAAATCAAAACAAAAGAAAAAGCACAAGTATAAAGAAAAAAAAGTCAATGTTTTTATTTAACAGAAGACATTCATTTGGAGGATAAAAAGGTGATCTCACAAAATATTAGACCATAGGATTATCCTGGAGTATTTATACCTTCCCCTATCCTGTAAAAGGATAATACATCCCCATTCATATGACTTGCAATAACTTCTGTCTTATTGATACTGAGCAGTTTTATGATATGTTTTGGCCTATGGAATATGACACTCAGGGTCATACATAATTCAAGCAGAATCTTCAGACATTTCTGCCAAATTTTTATCTTTTTTTGCCCTTGAAAGAACATGCCCCACATAGGTGTTGCTCTTGCAGCCCCACTCCTAGAACAAGTGTGTCTCTGTATAACTACCAGCATTGTAAATGGACAAGAAATAAATTTTGGTAAAGCCACATACAAATAACAATATAATATAGCCATTGAACATAGGAAACTAAGTTTAATTTTATTACCTGTAAGTAACATGTAAATTAAAATCACAACAGAATACTATCTTTTTATAAAAAGACTGGCAATATCAAATGTTAGTGATAATGTAGAACAACAGCTGGATGCCAGTGACTCCTGTCTGTAATCCTAGCTACTTTGAAGGCTGAGATCAGGAGGATTGTGGTTGGAGGGTAGCTTAGTCAGAATAGTATGAGAACTAACTCTGTAAAACAGCAAAAAACAGTGCTGGAGACCTGGATCATGTGGTAGAGTGCCAGCGTAATGTACAAGCCAAGTGAGTGTAAGGCTTGGAGTTCAAATGCTGCAAAAATGGTTGTAATAAGTATTCATATTAATAAGACCAATTGTTATTGTTGGCTGTATTGGAGTTTAAAAGCAACACCTCATGCTTGCTAGGTGGGCATTCTTCTACTTGAGTCATATGCCCAGCCTCAAAACTCTTAGAATTAAATGGGAATTAAACTGTTGCAATTTACACAGTATAAATTGATACACTTGGAAAGCTTCATTTATCTGTAGGTAGCCAGTGAATTACAAAGTCTGTTAATATCAGGCAAGTCTGAACATAGTCTACATTTCAAAATTTAGCAGAAAGACCTGTGCAGTACTTAATTAATTCTTTTCTTTTGGAGGAATTAATATTGTTCAATTTTCTTCCATTCTGTATACTTGGAGTAATTTGTAGATGATTAATGCAGGATTTTTAAGCAACTTTAACTCTTTTTGTGCAGAAATATTGGTGTTTAGTCTTCAGCAGTGGTTGAAATGTCTCAATAAGAAGTGATATTCAAACTTACGCACTAAATATCTGTTGTAGCACTGTTGCTATTCTAATATTTATAGGATTGTTTAGGGGTTAAAATTTGTCATCTATTATGTCAAAGTTTTATTCTTAAAAATTGGCCATACTGAATAAATGTATTTGAAATAAATTGGTTTTGGTATTGTACTCCATATTATCGTTTTAAATTTTGGTATCTTACTGCAGTGAAAGGCTTATCTGACATCTTGTAAATATACATACCCACACACCCTTCACCCTTATTGCAATAAAAGGCTTATTTGACACCTTGTACACACACACACACACACACACACACACACACACACACACACACACACACACACACACCCTTATTGCAATAAAAGGCTTATTTGACACCTTGTACACACACACACACACACACACACACACACACACACACACACACACACACACACACACACACACACACACACACACACACACACAGCCCTGGGGCTTAAACTCAGGTCCTGGGTGTGTCCTTGAACTTCTTTGTGCTCTACCACTTGAGCCACAGCTCCACGTTTTGGATAGTTTGCTGGAGATAAGAGTCTCATAGACTTTGCTACTCAAGCTAGCTTTGAACCACAGTCCTCAGATCTCAGCCTCCTGAGTAGCTAGGGATACAGGTATGTGCCACTAGCACCCAGTATAAATACATCTTATAAAAACATTTTTGAAATGCAACCTCCTAAATATAGTTACAGTTTAGTATTTCAGAGATAACACTTTAGGTGTCTTGATTTGGTCAAAACTTGTGGGTTACAAGATGATGTTCCCATTTTCTGTGGTGGCATTTTATATTTTATTATTTTTATAATTACCAGTCATGTAGATGTGCTATACTCTTTCCTTAGAATACATTTTGAACTTTAGAGTTTTAAGGACTCTCTTAAATGTCTTCCTACTAAAATTAAATAATAGTGGTTAATATTTTTAGTAGTGAACGAAACTATTATCAAAAACTTTGACTAACTGAACATTGATTTTGCTTTTCAGCGGGGATCTGATGAGCTTCTTTCTTCTGGAGTCGTTAACGGACCTTCTACCATGAACAGTTCTACTTCTACAGGTGTGTATGGTAAGTTTTAGTTTTTTTCAAATGTTTTCTTTACATGAGCTTCAACTTTTCTTGCAATGTTCAGAAACGTGATGAAATACCATTAAAAACCATTATAGGAGAACTATAGAATTAAAGTGGATAGGATTCAGTTACTTAAGGCAAAAAAATGAAAAGAAATTTCCTCATATGAATTCATAAACTTGATATGAATTGGTCAGCCATTGATGTACACCCTCTTAAATGACTAATGGAAAGATTTTGTAGGCAGAGGAGCAACAGGGAATTTGTTAATGTGAAGAGTAGATAGAATAATAAAGGCATTGAATCTGAAGTAGACATTTCAAAGTTGAGATCCCATCAGAATCCCTGAGAAAGCTTGTTAAAATAAAATTGTTATTGTGTTTGCATAATCCTTTTCAGAAGGTTGTCTGAGTTTGACACCAATCTGGGCTACATAATGAGTTTGAAGCCAGCAGGAGCTACATAGGAAGACTAAGTCTCATAAAACTCATCAGAAACAGAAAACTAAAAACCTCACAATTGAAGGAAGGCACACTGATGAGTGTTTTTAATCCCAGCTACTAATTTTGTAGTTTGGGAGTGGGTCCTCAGGATTTGCACTTGTACAAATTTCAGTAACATTGACACTGTACATTTGAGAACTTCTGGTGGAGAGGCAGCAATCTAAAATTGCGACATCTGATTTCCTTTTGATTTAATGAGTCTTTAAAAATTCTTCAGTTTTATGATATACACTGTGAATAATTTTCATTTTACAATCTGATCATTTTCTTCGTCTAGCCACATTCGTGAATTACTGGGATAGATGATCAGAAAGACTACTTGGTGGTGACTACTTAGGAAAGAAACTCTAATGAGATGTGAATTTAGCTGACAGCAGCAGTTTTTTGTTTCAGGCTTCGCTTTAAGGATACATATATCCCATTATGCTTTAGGTTCAATGTGTCTCTTCTGAGGCACATGCTTTTCAGTAGCCTTTCAGCACAGCTCTATTAAGTACTCATCTCTCAGACTTTGGTTAAAATATCTTTTATTGTCATTATTGAACTTTGAGTGACTAAATAGGATTCTTGGTTAAGAGTTATTTGCCTCTGCCAGCACTGGTGGCTCATGCCTATAATTCTGGCCACTGAGGAGGCTGAGATCTGAGGATGGCGGTTCAAAGCCAGCCTGGGCAGGAAAGTCTGTGAGACTTTATTGGGGGGGGGGGGGCCTCCGGTCATGGGGCCTGAACTCTGGGCCTGGGCGCTGTCCCTCAGCTCTTCAGCTCAAGGCTAGCGCTCTACCACTTGAGCCACAGCGCCACTTTTTTCTTTTTGCTTATGTGGTGTTGAGGAATCGAACCCAGGGCCTCATGCATGCAAGGCAAGCACTCTACCACTGAGCCACCTTTCCAGCACTTACTTACTCTTTTTTACACCAGTCCTGGGGCTTGAACTCAGGGCCTGGTTGCTATCCCTGAGCCTTTTCACTCAAGGCTAGTGCTCTACTATTTGAGCCATAGCCCATTTGAACCATACTATTTGAGTTTTTGGTAGTTTGTTGGAGATTAGAGTCTCATGGACTTTCCTGCACAGGCTGGCTTTGAACCATGATCCTCAGATCTCAGCCTCCTGCGTAGCTAAAATTACAAGTGTGAACTACCAGTGCCCAGCTCCTCAGAATAATTTAAAGGATCATTGAAGAAAAAGATGGCTTGACCTATTCCATGCTTACTCTAAAATTTCTGTGGGTGGGAATCTAAGCAAATGATTTTAGTAAAAAGCTTTTTAGGTGATACATCTAAGGTGCATCTAGGATTGGAGACCATTACTGTAATCTCCATTTGTTCTGCTCAGGAGTAATCCAACTCTTTATGAATTGCCAGTTAAACCGGTACCAGGACTATCTCATTGCATCCTGATTTGCCTTAACCTCTCTTACAGAATTTTCATCCCTTTCTCAATGTATAGTATATTTTGCATAATTTCCTTAAAATAGTTTTCTAATTCACTATTTGTTCAGGTTTCTCTATTTTTATTGTTCCATTGAGTATTTGATTTTAGAAGTAATATTTTTTTGTTTCCTTATTTGATTTTTGTTTTTGTGGCTGTTGGAATTGGGCAAGCTAGTCACACATTCTACCCAAGTTTCATCTTCACCCAGACTTACTTGTTTTGTTTCTAAAGTCTAAATAGTGGTTGGGTCCTTTCCCCTTTCCTCCCCTTCCCCTTCCCCTTCCCCTTCCCCCTCCCCCTCCCCCTCCCCCTCCCCCTCCCCCTCCCCCTCCCCTTCCCTCCTCCCCCTTCCCCTTCCCCTTCCCCTTCCCCCTCCCCCTCCCCCTCCCCCTCCCCCTCCCCCTCCCCTTCCCTCCTCCCCCTCCCCTCCCCCTTCCCCTTCCCCTTCCCCTCTTTTTTATACTACATTAGGTTTTTTTACTTTTAAGACACCTTTTTGTTTGGGGAGAGTTGTTAGGATTTTCCTAATGGATGTAAGAGCCCAGGCTTGCATTGAACTTACAGTCCTCTTGTCTTTACAACACTTGAGTACTGGGAGGATTACAGGAATGCATTATTGTGCCTATCCAATCAAACCTATTTTTTTGGTGCCAGGCATAGATGCTCTCCCTGAGCTTTTTTGTTCAAGACTATCAACTTGAGCCAGCTCCACTTCCTGCTCAGGCTGGCTTCAAATCACAATCCTCAGATCTCAACCTCCTGAGTAGCTAGAATTACTGGCATGAGCCACTGGCACCCAGCCCAAACTATTTATAGCTTCAGATTTTACAGTTCTATGGAGTTCAGGGTATTCGGGTGTCCTATTTTTAATATACTGTCTGGTAAGGTATATATATATATATATATATATATATATATATATATATATATATTTTTTTTTTTTTTTTTGGGTCCAGTCATGGGGCCTGAACTCTGGGCCTGGGTGCTGTCCCTCAGCTCTTCAGCTCAAGGCTAGTGCTCTACCACTTGAGCCACAGTGCCACTCTGGTTTTCTAGTGGTTTATTGGAGATAAAGAGTCTCATGGACTTTCCTATCCAGGCTGGCTTCGAACCTTCATCCTCAGATCTCAGCCTCCTGAGTAGCTAAGGATTACAGGCATAAGCCACTGACACCTGGAAATTATACCTTTTTTGTAAATATTGTAATTTTTAATATACATTAAAATGTTTTTGTAATATTGCCATGTTCTGAAGCTTCAAAAGTTGAATATTTTGATATTTATTGACTACAATTTTTCTAATTTACTTTTTTATTAGTCTGTATTAATTGTTCAAAGGGATTTCATTGTGATATTTCCATATAGCCACAAAATGTACTTTGATCATATTCATCCCTACTGTTACTCATTCTGATACCTTAAAACAATATTTTGTGGGGTTGAGAGATTCTGGAGTTTGATCTCAGGGCCTTATGCTTGCTAAGTAGGACCCATACCACTTGAACCATGCCTAAGCATTTTTGCTATAGTTATATTTTTAGATAAGTCTAATGTATTTTGCCTGGGCTTGCTTGGACTATGGTCCTCTTATCCTCCTTGCTTGGATGGCAGGCCTTTTAATTTATATGGGATCTTTTTTTTGCCGAGGCTGACCTTTGCCCATCATCTTTGCAATTCTTCCCATGTCTATTTCCTGTGTAATTGTGATTACAGGCATGAGCCAACCCTCCTGGCTTAAAATGATTTTTTTTAAGATTTTTATTTGCATATATTAGTCACACAAGAAGAGAGTTTATTGTGATTATTCCTTACATTCACACAATCTACCCTGATCAATCCCTCTCTGTCACTCTCCATCTAATCTCTCAAAACAATTTCATCAGGTTTCATTGTACTGTTTCTTTGTTTTTTGTTTGTTTGTTTGCTTTGTCGGTCATGGGGCTTGAACTCTGGGCCTGGGCGCTTTCCCTGCACTCTTCAGCTCAAGCGAGCCTTCTACTGCTCGAGCCACAGCGCCACTTCTGGTTTTCTAGTGGTTTATTGGAGGTAAGAGTCTCACGGCTGTTCTTGCCTGAGCTGGCTTTGAACCACGATCCTCAGATCTCAGCCTCCTGAGTAGCTAGGATTACAGGTGTTAACCACTGGTGCCAGGCTGTACTGTTTCTTAAATACATATGAAGTACTTTGATCACCATATTCACCTTCATTCATCATCTGTTAGCTGGTATTTGACTCCTCTAGCAGAGCCTTCTTTACTCTCATTCTTATCTTTAGTGTGTATGCGTGTGTGTGTGTGTGTGTGTGTGTGTGTGTGTGTGTGTATGCACGCGCATGTACTAAAGTTTTGCTCATAACTGGTAATCTTTACCATATGAACCATCCCTCTAGTCTTGCCTTTTTTGTGGTTAATTGGATATACAGACTTGTGGACTTTTCTACTCTAGCTGGTTTCTAGCTTAGTAGCTAGAATTTCAGGCATGAGTCATTAGTGCTGGCTCTGTCATTCATTTTTGCTTTTCTTAAAAGTGTGTATTAATTGTACAAAGGACATTTCACCATGGTATTCCACAAGTTACATAGAATATAATTTAGTCAGATTGACCTCCTTTATTGATATCTTTCCCTATTCCCTCACCCCTTTATTGTTAAATTTTCAGTTTCCTATGCCCTCAATAGACATATACAATGTATTTCAATATTATTTATCCTTCATAATTTTCTTTCCTTCTCCCCTTTTCTCCCTCTCTCCTAAACAGTCCCATTGTTACAATTATGTTTGTTTAGATAGATAGACAGACATGTTTATATATAGATGTAGATGAAGATGAAAATGCACATATATATCTTTTAGGTCTAGATTCTGCAAATGAACAAAACATGTATTTGAGTTTTGAGCTTGGTCTACTTTGCTAATGATGATCTCTATAATTCTGTCCATTCTCCCTCATTTTTCTTTAAGGCCAACTGGTATTCTGGGTGTATATGTACTCTATTTTTTTATCCACTTATTATTTGTTGCGTATTGAAACTGATTGCACAATTTAGCTATTGTGAACAGAGT